TGAGTTTGGTCACATTGAAATATATGTGTTTCTGGCAGAGGGACACTGATTAATATTTATTTTCTTAACTACACTGATCTTTTATCTTACTTTTTTCTTTTACTATTTTTGACTCTTTTGTCCTGTTTTTTTTTTTGAAAAAAGCGTAAAAAACTCAAGACAAACATCCTCTTCCCTGCTAAGGACACTGGAGAAACTCCTACTAGGTAATTGACAAAATGAAGCCCTCTTCCTGTGCACTTGATATCCTGCTGATGAGATCTGTAAAGGAAATGTTTGGATCTGTCAACCCACAAAGTCTAATCTAATCTAATTAATGCATCATTACTGACAGGTTGTGTCCCTGTTTACTTACAAAAATCAGTTATTCAAACTCTTCTGATTAAGATCAAATTTTAAAAATCCTCTCTGGACACAAAAGTCTCTGGATAATTTAAAAAAAAAAATCAAACTCCCTTTCTCTCTAAGGATTTACAAAATGGTTGTTGCTGAACTAACATAAATGCTTCCGTCGACCTGTATAAAACAAACCACAGCACAGAGATGATGCTTCACAGAATGATGATGAATCATTGTTGGTAGCTGCAGGTGCCATTTTTTTCTTTTTTTTATTTGAGTGCTGCACTGTGTTTTACTGACTCACAGTGCAGCACTGGATTTTAACTGGATTTGCATTTATTTGGGCCAGAGATTAATGAGATTATCATCCCTTTAAATTGCTTTCGCTCTTTGCTCTGTGCCTCCAGTTTGAGTTACTTTAAGTATGTCTTTTATAATGTTTTATCATCTCTTCCTACTGATGATTTTTAACAATTATAATGTTTATATATTTTCTTTTAATTGACCCTCTTTTAGGTTCTTAATTCTCTTTGTACCCCATCTGCTTGCAGTTATAGCTTTCCAGTGATTTTCACCTTCTTCTTCTTTTTTTCTTATTACTATTCATCACTAGGTTTTGAAATGCCTTCTTGGCCTCTAGCTTGATCTGTGTTTCGCTTGAATTTACTTTTTGTCAAAATATAAAACCAGCTTTGTTGCTTTTGTTGGGTAATGGCTTTATTTCTGAGTATTGTTTTCAGTGGTGCAGTATAGGAGATTTTTGGGGACTTTGATGAGTCCCTAGACAAAAACAAACAATCATAAACATTTGTATAAAGTCACGGGGACATACGTGTAGATGACATCATTTTGCTAGCAGTAAGGACTACAGTGAAAACTGTGGTTAAGTATCTGTAGTGAACAGCTGTAGACTGCTATTGCTATTTAAAGCAAATATTTGGCTTAGTAAAGTTGAGTATTTGTCTGGGTCTGTTCATAACACCAACACATGCGTCTACATTAATGTACATGCATAATGTGGACTAAATGTTTTAATTTTATCACAAATTTAGCTTACAGCCATTTTGTGTTGCCTTGTTAGCCCATATATTCCTTATTGGAATATAACGAATATATATTGTAACTTATCTTTTCCCCTCATTTCTGCTTTATTTCATTCATTTTAATAAAATCACAAGGACTAATTTAATATCCAAAAATTTACCACTTAGAAACCAAATTGCTTCTCTACAGGCATTTGTTTGCTGGTTCATGTCAAAGTGAATTTAAAATGCTTTTTAAATATTGAACTAAAAGTAAAATTTTAAGAATTGCTGACAAGGCTGTGGGTAGGGGTGCAGGGGATGTTGCAATAGGTCTTCTCCTAAAAAGCAGGTGTCACAGCACCCCCTGCTTAATGCACAAGAACTGTAGGATTTTGTACACGCTGAAAGAACTTTAGTCACTGTGATTTCGAGCACAATAATAAACAGCAGAATCTTCAGTCTTCAGGCTGTTCATCTGCAGATACAGCTGCTGTCTGCTGTTGTCTCTGGAGATGGTGAACCGGCCTCTGACTGACTGAGAGTAGAAGATGCCACTACTATCAGTGTAAATGTAAGCAATCCACTCCAGTCCTTTTCCAGGAGCCTGTCTGACCCAGCCCATATGGTAGCTGCTGAATGTGAATCCAGAGGCTGTACAGGTCAGCCTGTGTGAATCTCCTGGTCTTTTAACTGCTGGTTCAGATTGTGTCAGAGTCTGACCATCAACACTTGTCAACATAAACAAATGACAATGAAAAATAATTTAATTCCATAGTAAATTAAAACAATATAAAAAAAGAGTTTTAGTGGAGAGTTTTACCTGCACAGCAGACAATCAAAAGTAACAACAGTGTCACACAGTCTATTATTTTTGACTATGTCTTTGCCTGTCCACTCTTCTCTTCACACTTGACATCAGGCAGTTATATGGACGTCAAAGACATCTAAGTATTTGCATTGACTCCTCCTTAAAACTAGGAGACTTAAAATATTCAATAATTAATGTGACAGCCAAAATGTACAGGCATTGAAAAAAAAAAGGAAACTCAATATTTACTGCAAGGTTGAGCATTGGCTGCTGCTGCACACATCTGCTGTTTTAACAAACACTCTGGAAAAGATCTAAGATTCTGTATCATTCCTCTGTGTACTGCCTTCTGGTAAATGGTCGTCTTTTATGGCAAATCTATCTATAATACATATCTGCAATGTCTCGCCTCATGTTTTCAGCTCAGAGGAGGACTTGCTTAGTTTATCTCTCTTAAAATTCTTCTAAGTGATGCGTCATTCACATTAAAAGACACAACATTCGTCTTTCACCCAGTCACACAACCACTTTTTTCTGCACTTAAGTGCTTACTATCTAACGTTCGCACTCCAATGGACCAGAGAGATGCATCAAAGAGAACTTGGGATTCAACGTCTTGCCTAAAGATACAGAATCGAGCAGCAAGGGCTCACACCAGCAACTTTCCTATTACATGTCATTACATGACCTGGTCTAGTACCTGCTGAGCTACAGCCAGCAACATAGAGACTGGCCAGCGGTGTGTTTCTTTAAATAAGTGATTCCTGGTAGACAGGCAACAGTATTTTTTTGCTCCACAATATGAGTTAAAGGCAACAGGTTGCTACCCCATGTACCTGAAAGAGTTTTTCACTAAAGACTACAATACCCAGAAGAGAAGAATTTAAGAGATCTTTACTAAAAATGTTATGATAGATTTGTCATGGTCCCCGTGCCTGCTCGGCTGGCCCTGTGTGGCTACATGTTATGTTTTGTCTTTTCTCTCTCCTCTCTCTCTGCTCGCTGCCTGGGCGGAGCTCATTGTGAGCTCCCGGCCTCCACCACCTGTAGGCAATCACCTGTGGCTCCTCACCTTGTTTGCTCCCGCTACTTAAGGCAGTGACTGAGAGCACCTCGCCGCTGGACTATTGAATAACGCTCGTCAGTGCTACTTTAGCCTCAGCCAGTTTTGAGCTCTGTCCGTGAAAGTTCCGTGCTAACCCTTGTTCTCTGTATGCAGATTTCTCGTGTTTGGTTTGGAGACTCTGGACGCTTTTCCCGACCCCGCTCTGCACCCCTGGGAACCCTGGCCCCCTTCTCCTTCACCTGTATATAGTGCACCTGGAGTGTGTAAATAAACCTGTTTTTCTGAGATTTCAGTCTGCGCCGAGTCCTCCCTGCTCCTCCGTGACAAGATGTATACATGAACTTATTTATTTTCAATAATAAAAGAGTAGCTCTGGCACAGGGAGATATTTATCAAATGTAGATATTTATTCATACAACAATACACACCTTTGTCCTTTCTTGTAGTTAAATAAACATAAGAACTAATCATATCAAGGTTTGTGACAAATCACATGTAGCATTGTTTTTGTCCAAACTCTGATTATATCTTCCTGAGTATTTGTGCAGGTTTGTGTGGCCCAGAGACTCACACATTAATAAACATCTGTATCCTCAGGCTGTAGATTCTGTCCTGTTATTGTCACTCATCAACATCTGAATCACACATGAAGCTACAAACACAGCTGATCTACAGTAACTGTTTCCTAAAGGGACAGACTGAACACCAACTGCCCTCTAGTGTCCTGATACAATCTGCAACATTAGTTTTGAGTTGAAATTCTAAAACATGTTTTTATTTGTTTTTAATTATTCATTGATACTAGTTTCTCTGTCTGTGTGTAAGGGTCACTGAAAAGAATCTGTGGAAACAGAAATCAGCATTGTATCCATCATTCATTAAATTACTTTGTGTTTCTAATGTGTTATTTGAGTGAACCCAGTAAAATAGGATGCAGCTGCGGTATCAGAATTGCAGACAAGAATTTTGGTCTTGAAGCTGAACTGATGTGACCCGCTTTGTTTCCTCACTGATCCACCGTCACATACTTTACTTAAATTGTTAGGAAGTGTAGTGCAGTGGTTTACACGTTCCCTGGCTTGTGCCCAAGAAGAGTTGTAAACTACCTGGAGGTTCTGTCAGAATCAGCCAAATCAAATATGCAGAGCTGCTGTTATGGTGTCTTTATGGTATCATTATTCCTCTCCCTGCATTACAATCGCTGCTGTAAATTGATCCTCATATTTATCATAAAACTCTGTGTATCTCTGTGTTTGTTTTATACAGTGTTTAAAGATCACTGGATTTGTCAGAACACTGTGATGAAATAGAAAATTAGTGTTTGTGTGGTTCAGTATGAAGCGTATTTTTCAGGTCTATTTGTTTGAAATACTTTGACGCTAACTGGTAAATAGTTAGACACACTGGTGTGTTTTCTAAAAGTTGGTCAAATACATTTATATTCTGTCTATCAGAGAAGAACTGACCAGACAAATGTTAATTCATAAAATCCTTATTCACATTTGCAACGTTTTTTCGGTTGTGTCTTGCAGGTTGCTGAGTATTTGTGCTTATTTGTCCTATTGTATTTGCACCGTGGACCAAGAACTTCACAATTTAGTTTCTTTGTAAACTTGTCTGAGATAAAAATAGACTTTGTTTTGACTTAGTCTTTAAATGTCTGCTACTTCAGTCTTTCAGGTAAACTCACGCATAAAGCTGCAGCTATCTTTGATCCATCTGTTTTCTAAAGGTAGAGATGAGACATGATGAGAGCTGCAATAAATGTTTTTATTCCAACTTCTATGCATATTGTCCTATAGAAATTCAGTATTTCTTATTTCTTCTGACACATGAAGGATTTTGTACAGCAGCTGAAACAGCTCCAGTCACTGTGGCTCTCGAGCACAATAATAAACAGCAGAATCTTCAGTCTTCAGGCTGTTCATCTGCAGATACAGCTGCTGTCTGCTGTTGTCTCTGGAGATGGTGAACCGGCCTCTGACTGACTGAGAGTAGAAGATGCCACTACTATCAGTGTAAATGTAAGCAATCCACTCAAGTCCTTTTCCAGGGGCCTGTCTGACCCAGCCCATATGGTAGCTGCTGAATGTGAATCCAGAGGCTGTACAGGTCAGCCTGTGTGAATCTCCTGGTCTTTTAACTGCTGGTTCAGACTCTGTAAGAGTCTGACCATCAACACCTGTCAACAGAAATAAAGAGAGAGAATAAAAAAAATTAAAAAATTACAATGATTTTTTTTGGGTAAAAGTTTTACCTGCACAGCAGAGAGTCAGAAGTATCAGCGCTGTCTTACAATCCATTTTGATTAATTGTCTTTCCACTATTCCCTGCCTGCTTTGAGCAGTCTGATAAGTAGAGGTAGAAGAAAGGATATTTGCATCAGCTCCTCCTCAACAAGAAGACAGAAAAGTTGAATAAATAAAGGTTTTACTCAAAGACACTATACTTCACTCAAGAATATATATATTACATTTTATTCATTTAAAATTATAATTAGATTTTATTCATTTAAAAGTATAGTTATTTCGGTGTGATAAAACATGTTCCATACAAATATAATTTAAAAATAAATGTGGAGCATGTAAGTATAGGAAACACAAGCTCCCCTTGATTATGTTTGTCTGTTTAAATCTGGGGTACAGCTTAGTTCACACACTAAGCTGGAGTCATCACTGATCTCACTGTTCAACACACATGGATGTAGGTCCTTTGTGAGTGATTGCTGAAAATGTTGTAATGTACTCACTCGCTTTTTATTATTATTTGTAAATATGTGTGCAAATGGTTGGTTTTTTGTACTGTTTTTATCAATAAATCTCAGCAACAAAGGACATACACCCATGTGTGTTGATTTCTCCCTAAGATGGCAAACTGAAACACTCCAAGTTGGTGACTTTTGGAGATTTATTTCCCTGGATGATTGAGAATGCATCAAGATGAAACACAAAAGGAAGTGCACAGCTTTTAGCAGCTCCCCCACCCCCTCAATCACACACCCCCACTCCCCTCCCTCCAGAATTCCCAGGTAACAACCTAATATACATATGAATGACTAGCCAATTTAGCTTCCACTTCCACCATTTGACTGCTCGGGTTTTAT